GTTGAATGCCGCGCACGCATTGCCAGACGAGTCGAGAATGGCCCGGTACACCGCAGGAAGCCAGAGGTGGCCGGAGGAAACCCGACGGTCTGACAGGACACCCCAAAGCATTTTTGTGAAAAAGCATGGGGTTTTTGATGTTTTTATGTTGAAATGCTTGCAAACACACGGTGTTCGGTAGGATTCTGACATGAACGCGCGAGTGTGCTCTTTGTTGTATTTTTTGCACAGGATTCGCGGCCTGGGTGCATGACAGAGCATCGCGAGTGCACCGCGCGATGACGTGAAATCGCTGGATTTGACAGAATTCTTAAGATTCCTATGGTTTCCTATGATTTCAGCAAGAGAGCCCGGGCGGGAAATTTGTACAATTTTTGTGAAAAAGCATTGGGTTTTTGATGTTTTTATGTTGAAATGCTTGCAAACACATTGTGTTCGGTAGGATTCTGACATGAACGCGCGCGTGTGCTCTTTGTTGTATTTTTTGCAATGGATTATCGCCGTGGACGACAGGACGTCCATGTCGAGAGGAAAAAATAAGAAAAATATTGATGTTGTATTGTTTTTTACAAGTTAGGATGGGACCCCCCGGATGCGGCCCCTAATGGCCGGCCTGAGGGGGGAGTAGGAGTATATTCTAATAAGGAATAAGGATAGGAGTAGGAGTCAAGCTAGCCAGCTCGAGCGAGTCAAGCATGGCATGCCCAGTCCCACCCGCCCTCCCACAACATAAGAAGCAAAGCTGGCACAACTGGGGCCGAAGTCACACCGGCCAGCCGGTTTGGTACAGCTGATGCGGCCGCGATGGCGGTTGCCGACGGGAACTGGCGAGCGCGTGTTGAATGCCGCGCACGCATTGCCAGACGAGTCGAGAATGGCCCGGTGCACCGCAGGAAGCCAGAGGTGGCCGGAGGAAGCCCGACGGTCTGACAGGACACCCAAGGGGGCCCAGGAGGCCCCAAAAGGCAGGAGTAGTAGTACCAGTGGTAGTGGTGTTGGTAGTGGTAGTGGTAGTAGTAGTAGTACCATGTCACCCCTTCGCGCGGGGTGTGCGCCGCGTCCCATTCCTGCCACGCATTTTGCGACGTGACGACAGCACGACCATGTTGACAAGAAAAACAAAACTGTGTATTGTCTTTTGCAGATTAGAATGGGACGGATTGGATGGGCGGGCGCGGGGTGTGCGCCGCGTCCCATTCCTGCCATGCATTTTGCGACGTGGACGACAGGACGTCCATGCGACGGTGCCAATGACGGCGACGACTCTAAAAGGATTTGAGCATGCGCTCGCGGCGACGCGCGCGCATGTCGCCCGCGTGGTATTTTTTTGCACAGGATTCGCGGCCTGGGTGCATGACAGAGCATCGCGAGTGCACCGCGCGATGACGTGAAATCGCTGGATTGACCGAATTCTTAAGATTCCTATGGTTTTCCTATGATTTCAGCAAGAGAGCCCGGGCGGGAAATTTGTTCAAATTTTGTGAAAAAGCATTGGGTTTTTGATGTTTTTATGTTGAAAATCTTGCAAACACACGGTGTTCGGTAGGATTATGACAAATAATGAAACGCGCGCGTGATCTTTATGTGGTAATATTTGCAATGGCTTATCGCCGAGGACGACAGGACGTCCATGTCAGAGGAAAAGTAGGAGTATAGTCTAATAAGGATTAGGAGGATAGAGTAGGAGTAGGAGTAGAAGTATAGTAGAGAAGTAGTAGTAGTTTTTGTAGCAGTAGTAGTAGTAGTAGTTTTTGTAGTAGTAGTCGTCGTCGTAGTCGTAGTCGTAGTAATAGAAGTAGTAGTAGTAGTAGTAGTAGTAGTAGTAGTAGTAGTAGTAGTAGTAGTAGTAGTCAGTAGTAGTAGTAGTAGTAGTAGTAGTAGTAGTAGTAGTAGTAGTAGTAGTAGTAGTTGTGGTGGTGGTAGTAGTAGTAGTAGTAGTAGTCGTCGTCGTCGTCGTCGTCGTCGTCGTTATTATTACCCGTGGTATTATTAAGTGTACTATCGTTGTTATTGCCATTAGTTTTGTCGTATTCCTTATGTGTCTCATCGTTCTTATTACTATGTGTCTCCTTCGTCGTCGTCCTTACTATATGTATCATCCCCTTCCTCTGCTTCTCTTCATGAGGATTCGCTCCTCTTCCTTTTCCTGGTCCTCCTCCTTCGTCTTTTTCGTGTTCAGATCATACTCCTGTTTCATACATTATATATATATGTTAACATATCATTTGTGCATTCTCAATACTCCTAATTCTTGGTTGCAGGTCATTATCCGCATTTGTTACCCGTACTACTGCTAGTATTGGTATTCCCTTAGCACTATTAGCTTCAATATTGTCATCAATCTAAGTCGTAGTATAGCTGTTATGTTCTAGTCATGTCCATCCGTATGTGTAGTACTGTTGTTGATGTTGTTACTCGTAGTAATAATAATAGTAGTAGTAGTAGTAGTAGTAGTCGTAGTAGCAGTAGTAGTAGTAGTAGTAGTAGTAGTTGTGGTTGTTGTTGTTACTAGTAGTAGTAGTAGTAGTAGTAGTAGTAGTAGTAGTAGTAGTAGTAGTAGTGGCAGTAGTAGTAGTAGTAGTATGAATAGTAGTAGTAGTAGTAGTAGTAGTAGTAGTAGTACTAGTAGTAGTAGTAGTAGTGGTAGTAGTAGTAGTCGTAGTAGTAGTAGTAGTAGTAGTAGTGGCAGTAGTAGTAGTAGTAGTAGTCGTAGTAGTAGTAGTAGTAGTAGTAGTAGTAGTATTGGTAGTACTAGTAGTAGTAGTAGTAGTAGTAGTAGTAGTAGTAGTAGTAGTAGTAGTAATAGTAGTATTGGTAGTACTAGTAGTAGTAGTAGTAGTAGTAGTAGTAGTAGTAGTAGTAGTAGTAGTAGTAATAGGAGTATTAGGGGTAGTAGTAGT